TGCACGACGGCGTTGATGCATAAACAACTCACATCCGTAGCTCATGGCCAATGAAATGTGCTAGCGCATGGCGGCGGCTCCAGGTAGGGTGCGTCACGGTTTGTATACAAATCAAAGAACACGTCATTGTGAAAATTTGCATTTTGGCGAGGCTTGTTTGTGCGACGGAGTCCGCGAGGCGCCAACCACCCCCCCATGCACATAATGCAGGAACCTGCATACTTAGTGCTTTGTTGGCCAACAACTTCGCACCAGGATCTGCAGGCCAAGGTTCAGCAGAGTCGCGTTTGCGTGCGCCGGGCTGGCAATCTGGAAGGCTGGCGGGCGAGCGAGGATTTTCCAACTGTTGCATGCGCATCCTCATGGATCTGACATGTGTTCTCAAGAGCATTTTTTGCAGTATTTGTGGAACAATTGTTGTTCAACTGTCAAGTTGTGAAGAGGCGATTGGATGTAGCCAATGCGCCTCAGGCCACCGTTGGGTTAGACGCGGGCATGAGCCGCCCTGGTTTTTGTTGTTGACCCGAAAAACGCCCTGCTGTCAAAGGTTTGAGCACCATGTTGAATCATATTGAATCATGCCCCACAAAATGCCCCCTGAGCGGATTTTGCACAATGCCTTGCCTTGCCGTGGGCGCCTGTCTGTTGGGAGGCTGGTTTTGACAACCCGTCTGCCGCAACAGGTGTGGAAGATGTGTTGACACTTGGTGACACTTTCCTGGAGGGCTAACATGTGAAATGCCAGGAGCCCCTAGTAGCTGCTTGTTCCCAGTAGCGATGCCCTTTGCTCCTAGTAGCGTCCTTTTAATTCCTAGTAGTAAGGCCAGGAGCCCCTAGTAGCGTCCTTGCTCCCATTAGCGATGCCAGGAGCCCCTAGCAGCGCGCTAGCAATTAGTGCGTTTTAGTGACCTTTTATGGAAGGCGCCAGTGTCGTCAAACGTGGGAGCTTCACTTCGAGGAGGCTCTCTGTCCAGAGCTTGGCTGGAAATCGGGTACGGTAATTACGGTGATTATTTGTCGATAACCCATCGATAATCCTTTTCACATTGCCAATTTAAGGATCAGCTTCTGAGATGCAGACCAGCATTTTCAGCACTCTGGTGATTTCAACTGATCAGCGGAAAAACATCTTACTTCGTCGTTGTATGTTTGTTGTGTGCTGTCGTATCGGGCACATGGATGGACATTGATCCGGCTTGACCTGACCCAACTCTGGCACAAGTTGGAAACCTCAGTGAAATTGACCAAGCAAATCGATTCTCAGTCAGCACTGTGTGGAGTCCACAGCGTGTTCGTTCAGGAACTACATTGCCTGGCGGGTTGTTTGGTGTTTGTGTTTGGTGTGGTCATTGTGTGTTGTTTGTATTTGTTTGTGTCATTGTTTCTTGTCTCTCGTCGCGTTTGTGTTGCCTGTGTATGTTTGGCGTTCTGATTTCGCGTTGTCAGCGTTATAGTTTGTTGTTTGTTGTGTAGTTGTTCTTCGGACTGGCCATGCACTGCCTGATGCTTTGCAGCAGCAGAGGTCTCGATAAGGCGGGTTGTTTGGTCCAAACTCTAGCTACCCCAAGTCCTGTCGGGTGGGAACAATCAGTTACTTGCAGAAGAGAAACGGTGTGCATCACAGCCCTGAGGCCCCAAGCACATCTCTGCCTTTGAAGCTGGGCGCCTGGAATCATCATGGGTTACTGGAGGGTTGGTCCGGTTTGAGCAGAGCATCTTGGGCACCATAGAGAATGCCCTGAGATGCCCTGATGATAAATTTCGGTGGCCTGACTATGGCGAACATGCGGCATGGGATCTGATTTTTTGAGAGGAGGTTGTCTCCACAAGTCTCCTCGACGTTATTTCCGGTGCAGACGGATCACCATCCTGAATTGTTCTGTCAACCTGCGACTCCTTGAGGCCAGCTAGCATTGAGTCAAGCAGATCCAACGGGTGCTGCGGATCACGGGGGCGGAGGGAGTTTGGACCATGAAGGGAGTTGGGTCTGAGCAATTCTGGTTTCTGCATTCTGGTTTGAAAAGCCGGCGCGCAAAAACACAAGGAAGGCAACTTGAAGAAGTCCAACAAATCAGCCCAGCCGGAGTATGGCGCGGGTGTGATGCAGTCGTCACCGGCGTACTTTCTTGTCGTTTTTGAGCAATTGCTCGCAATTCAGGGTGGTATTTGCAGAGTTTTGTTGCTCAAATTTCTGCAGGGCCACTGGGGGAAAGTGATACTAGTAACTAAGCCGTGCATTTTTCCAAAACGCGAACCGTTTGTCCAATGTGGTTGCACTAAGCATGAAAGTTAGCACCGTTACGTGTTCAACCATTTTCACTTCAAATAACTAACAACATTGTGATTAGCTCGGTCAGGGCAATCTTTTTCCTCTTCGTACTTGTTCACAGTTCCTTTGTGGGCTTGGACCGGAATTCCCTTGCGATTCGGAATGTGCACCTATAAGTGTTAGTGTGCTGAGATGTTGGAAGATGATGCCCAATGCACACACGCTTTGGACATAAAGTGATTTCCTCTCTTGAAACTCATGGTAAAAATATTTGATTGTTGTTTTGAAACGAACAATAGCACAGAGTTTGCTTAACAAAACATGTCCCAAACACAGCTGTGCAGGGGCGTGATACCTTGTTGTTGAGCATGTTACAGGATCTTGCGGCGAGCCAGCTTGCCGACTCCAGGGTCGAAGGCAAGCTGGTCGGCAGGTGGTTGATGCTCAATTGTTTCAGCTAGTCTTTCAAGTTTTCTGCTTGCAAAGTAGGCCATTCATGAGTTCCCCAAAGAAACATTGTGTTTGCACTGACGTATTCACTCAGCCTGTCTGCCAGCCCCTCCGACGGCCTGCCCCTGGAGAAGAGACAGCTGCCTTAAGTGTGCCAACACCTTCGCTGGCCCAGGACTGTTGATGGTGTTGTCATTGTCCGAACGCCGTGAAGTTGGGGGTTGGCCTGATGAGCCCCTGGCAAGTTCGGCCTGATCTTCGAAAGGTACATTTTGCTTTATGTTGCTTGTCGAATTTTACTACATGCTTGACCTTTTTTGCTCATGACCGCATGGCTGATAAGAGAAACGGAAACGTATATGATTATATGATCATATATATATATATATTACAGTATATCAGGAGAAAATCTGCAGGAAACCCCGGCTTTCATCCCCAAAACTATGGTTTTCCTGTAGGTTTCCCTTAAACGAATTCTTGAACCATATCTTTTGCATTATGTATAGAACTACGAGAGATGTTTTTGGCATGGCTCCACCCATGTTCACCTCTTCAGGGACATGTTCCTGTCTGTCTCAGCGACAAGAGCAGTCCCATGCATGTGTGTGTGTGTATGCTTTTACTGGTGTAAGAGTTCTTTATTTGCATATGCACATGTAAAGTGTGCATATGTTTGCACCGCTCTTGCCGGCACAGGAGCCTGGCACTGCTGTGACATCACTTTTGGGTTGCTTGGTGGCAAGGGTTTTGCTTTATCTCCAAATGTGGTCAAGCCTTGTTGTTCCTAATAGTAAGGCTGGGAGCCCCTAGTAGCGTCCTTTGCTCCCAGTAGTAGGGCCAGGAGCCCCTAGTAGCGTCCTTTGCTCCCAGTGGTAGGGCCAGGAGCCCCTA